TTGAGAAATTGTTTTCTTCAATTTTTGTCCTTCCTTTTCCAAGTTATTGACTCTCTCTTGAATACCTCTCATTTCTTTTCCCACTTTTTCTTCTACTTCTCTTATTTGATTTTTAAAATTATTTTTGAGCTCTTCCAAGAAGTCATTTTGGGCTTGAGACCAGAACTTTATTCCCCTTTGAGGTTTCAGATATAAGTATATTGACAGTGTTGTCCCCTTCTGAGTTTGTGTTTTGATCTTCCCTGTCACCACAGTAATTTTCTATGATCAAGGTTCTTTGTTTCTTCTTGCTTTTTTTTCCCCCTTTGGCCGATCTCATGGCTGGTTATGGTAGGGCTAGTCTAGACACAAACGAACACCTTGCCCTAAGGGTGTGCATACATGCAAACATGGACACACACACATACTGAGATGTACACACCCAGAGACATACATGTTGGTGAATAAAGGGAAAATAAATGTTCCCAGCCCTTAAATGCACTGCATTTTCCAGATACTCTCAGGAAAGCTCTATGCCTCAATGCATCTATCATCTGATAAAAATGGTCCTAGAAAGCTGTCCATCATTGGGCACTGACCAAAGGGGGTGGAGTTGGTGAGAGAATGATGGCAATCAGGTGTCTTAACAACATATGGCATTTTTACCTGTGATCAGATCAAGCTATGTCTGGAGAGCAATGGACTCAGCCACAGTAGGGTAGCAAGAGACAACCAGACAAAGTAGGGGCACAATCAGGCATATACCCTGAGCCTTCACCTTGTTTTGTCAGTTCCTCTTTTGGCAGTAGACAGTCCTGCACTCTCCTTTCTACCCTCTCCTAGAAGTGAGCCCACCCACACAGCAAGGAATACTGATATCCAAGAAACACACATCCAGCGACATGGAGTGGTACACAGGCACACAAAAAATGAAGACCTAGGTTGATGTGAGCTTTTTATTCTTTGAGACCAAGGGCTCAAACAATTGCCACAGTGATTAGATTGTCATCAGTGATGGGGGAAGTCCATGTCTCCGCGTAGAGGCAGCACCTATCATCAATAGTGATTGGGAGCATCAGCAGACATGTGTTTCAGTCTGTATGTTTCTGCCATGAGAGGGCCAATCTCTTCATTGCCCCAATGTATTGTAGGTAAGTTTTGCAACAACATGAAGAGACCCTGAAAATCCTCCTTATCCAAGATCATCTTCTGCCACTTAATCAAGAAGGCAGCACACACATAGAGATGGAAATGAGAAAATCCTTCTGGTATGGTGCATCAGAGGGGCAGATTATAAGCAGATTATTCATCCAGCAAAAGGCAAACTGTAGATATTCAACCTCGTACCTCCTGAAGTGATTGTGCACCTATTCATCAATCCAGTGACCAGCTCTTACATGCTTGAACTTTATTCTGGATCCCTGGCTGGGCAGAGGTGTAGTTATCTTGTATCCCATTCAGTAGCTTACTCATGCACCAAAAACTGTCTGCTTCAATGCTTTGTAGAATATCTTGAGAAAAGTTTGTCATATCAAAGTTCTCCACGTCCTCTTTAGCATATTCTGAGAGGAAGACAAAGAATGGGATGACCAAGTCATTAATTCCCTGCACATAGCTAGTGGCAGGGTGTCAGATGGCCCAAATAAAGAGAATTCTTTCAAAGATCTCTTGAACAAGTGGCTGCTGGAACAATGGAATGAGAGGATTTGTCCTTGGAATGTCTATATATATCAACAGGAGCCTCCACGTGACAGGTCTAACCTCCCTGGGAATTCCTGGCCAGCTACATTTCCTCAGTTCATCTAGGTCTATATTATGGCTAGAGAGAAGCTGCTGAAATTTTCCTTAAGCATGTTTTCTCTCAGACAGTCATTGGGGGAGCACGAGAAGCATTCTGGTCTGAGATCCAGGCAACAGGGGGGATGATGGGTCAGAGTGGAAGTGATTGCCATTTTTGAAGAGGGTTCCTTAAGCATGTATCACCAGAATTTCTAGACAGCTGGGCTTCACTGCTGGACTTCATGGCTTTAAAATTAGCTGTTATATCAGCTGCCATAGATTGAGACTACTCTGGCTTCACCTCCAATTGGAGAACCAGGACTTGGGCTGCAGTTGCCAAAGCAACCATAGAGTTCAGAGTTTGGAAAGAGGATGCGGAAAAATCCTCATCATCTCCAATGTCCCAAGCATCACTGGTATTTCGGGCAAATTCATGAAAACTGGAGGCTTTTTTATTCTTCAAGGGTACTGCATTTGACTTTTTGTTGTTGTTGTTGTTGTTATTGTTGGCTAGGCAATGGGGTTAAGTGACTTGCCCAGGGTCACACAGCTAGTAAGCTGCATTGACTTTTGAGCATTCTTTAATGAAGTTTTTTGTGAACTGAGGATCCAGTGGAGGATGCTGGATTCCATGTACTGACTGGATACTGCCTGGTATCTTGAAGTTCCTCTTCCAAAACTGTTTGCTGTTGTCTCTGGCCATGGCTCAGGCCCAGGGAGCGGGCTGTAGGTGGGACTGGGAGAGAGGGGGAGCTGGAGAGACACCCCCAGGACCCTGCCACCCAAGGGCCGATCAAAGCTGCTTCCCTCCTGCTGCCACTGCTACCACCACTGGACACCCCAAGTATTACCTTCTACATGAAGTTTTTCCTTATCCCTTCAAATTCTAGTACCCTCCCTCTCAAGCTACCTTGTATTTAACTACTTTGTATTTACTGACATTTATTCTATATGTTCTTTTATTTGTAGTTGTCTCCCGCATTAGAATGTAATCTCCTTGCCTTGTAGTGATTATTTCGTTCATTTTAGTTGTGTCTCCAAGACCTGATATATAGTAAAGATGCTTAATACTTGTTCGCTGATTATTGTGTACCGCCAGAGTATTCTGCAGAAAGATTCATTGCATTTGTAATTTTACCAGTGATGAATGCTTTTATAGATATTCATACCATAGTCCCACCAGTGTTGAATTTTGTTGTTTCTAATTATTTTTTCAATTTGTTGCATATGAGAGGGTATCTTAAAGTTCAGCAAAATTCTTTTTGGAAGAAGAAAAATGATATCTCTCTTAATCTAAACTGTTCAGTGACCAGGAAGAAACCCAAGAGGCCATCATAATTGATAGAATTGTAGAGGTAATTCTCCTTTTCTATTGTATTATCTTAGAGAGAGAGAAGTGGCATTAAAATCATTTGGAATGTACCCATAGTCTTAAAATAAGTCAGAAATTAAATTTTCCATTCTGGAAAGTTTATTGGTATGTAAACTTAGCTGGCCTCAGATTCAGGAAAATCTAGCTTCAAGAGCCACCTCTGAATATAAACTGACTGTGTGATCCTGAGACAGTCACTTATTATTGCCAGATAACTTTTTAAGACAGTAAGTTAAAAGCTTCTGATCTACATTAGAAGAGGGATTTCCTTACTTGACAGTCTTCCATACCTACAAAATCAAAAAGGGGGCGGAAGGAGGGAGGTGTGGTGAAAATAAGCCAAAATTCAGTTACCCTGAATTAAGGACATAATCACAGAAGTCCATTGCTTTCAAAATAGGATTTGAAAAAAAAATAAAAAGCCCTTTACCCTAGTTAATTATTATAGAAGTTATGAGGTGAAGTTTTATTACCCCACATAGTAATCAAGCATTTGCAGATATATATGTTTTTTGTACTTTTCCATGGGTAAAAGTAGAATTCTGCCAACCAAGATACGCTTTCCCTGCTCACTTCATATGACATTATATGAAAATAGAAAAATTATTATTAGTTAGACCAGCCCTCCATTATGACTCCACTAAGATCTTCGTCTGATATCTCATCATGGCATGGAGATGGTCCTGGATTCTTGAAGGTTATGCCAATAGAGCTCAAGGTCTGTCAGATCTAACACAAAAGGCTTTGAGTACAAGCATCAGGCCATATATGTTAGCTCAGCTAACTTCAAACAGGCTGGTTGCAGGGTGAATTTTTGTATGTAGGAATTCTTGAAAACCGTCTTCTAAGACAATGCTGTCAAACCCAAATAGAAACAGAGAAAAAAACCACAAAATAACATTTTCTTTGTTGTATTTTTAGTTATTTTGCTAAACATTTTCCAATTACTTTTTAATCTGGTTCAGGCACACTGGGGAGTTTAACATCTCCATACTAAGACTCCGACAAAATCACAGATCTTCTACATAGAGACAGTGGAAAGGAATAGTATATCTAGGAATGTTAGTCTTTCAATTTAAAAAAAAAAATTCTACTTTTCAGAAAAAATATGCAACTTTTTTTTCTCATTTTATACTCCCAAACCTAATAGTTTGATAGGCTTTTGAATCAGTAAGGCTAATATCCATTTTTTTCACAAACTCAAGAGGTAACTCGGTTTAGATATGTTGCTTTTAACACTGTGGGTTTGTTTGTTTTTGTTTTGTTTTGTTTTTTAACAACAGCCTTTTAAAAATTATTTTGTTGTAAATTTTAAGCTTCTTAATATAACGTAAGTTCCTAGAAGGCAGATTTTTGGCTTTGTATTCTCATCATGTAGCACAGCACCTTGTACATAATAGGCATTTAGTAAATGTTTGAGTTGAAATTGGAATTAAGGTTTCAGTGGGAAAAATTATGATTAGGGATACATGGAAATTTTCCTTCTGACAAGAAGGAAAAGCAACATGAAATTATTACTGGAACATAAATGGAATTATTTTGAAAGTAATTATTTTGAAAAGCTATAATACTTCAAATAGCCTAATCCTGATTTCTGAGTTTTATTGTTTTCCTTTGCATTAAAAGGATATCAGGTTTAATACCACAATGTAAACATGATATCATTTTAACTGGCTCAATTGTAGAATTTTTTTCTTTTTAGTTTTTAAACTTGTCCCTAAAATTGGATTTATGTTAGAGATAATTGTCAGTATCCTCATGGGATTGGATGACATTATGTTCTTGATGTTTATTCCTCTTTTTCTTATTACACAGGAGGTTAAAATTGAAAGTTAAAACTGACATATGATTACTTTCTTATTTCAAACAGCTAGTTAAAGGTCTTCAGCAGGAGCTGAATCGATTATATTCGCTTTTCTGTTCTCGGAATCCAGACTTTGAAGAAAAGGGGGGTAAAGTCTCAATAGTGTCACATTCTTTAGGATGTGTAATCACTTATGACATAATGACTGGCTGGAATCCTGTTCGACTTTATGAAAAGCTAATGCAGAAGGAAAGTGAACTACCTGATGAACGATGGACAAGCTATGAAGAACGACATCTCCTGAATGAACTCTATCTAACTAAGCAGCGGTAAAGTAGTAATAGTAATAATAATAATAGTAATAGTAATAATGGTATTAAACAAAAACCACTTCCAGGCCAGAGGGGAGAATAGCAATAATAATAATAGCATTTCTTTAGCATCTACTATATGCCAGGCATGTGCTAAGCACTCATTTAATAGTATCTATTATTCTCTTTAAAGAATGACCAATAAGAGGAATTCTCTTTCCAGAAATTACTCTACTTGGAATTGGTATTGTCAAGATAATAAATCTTAGACCAAAGATTACAGCATTACATGTCCTAGTTGAATTTTAGGTATTTAAAATATTATATCCATTTCCTTATGTTTATAATAAATATATTTGTCACCCTATATTCTCTCCCTTAGTTTTTACTTTCTGTTTTACTGAGGGAGATTCTAGTTTCTCTTTAGGATCTTTAATCTTTTAAAGATTTTAAATTTAGAAGCTTTTAGTGAAAATATGACTTTTAAGAGGGCTGTTCAGAGAACAGTAAATTTTTAAATTAAGAAATTATATAGAATAGTAAGATCAAATCTCTTATAAATGCTTAGAAAATAGACTATTATTTCTAGCCTATTTTGTTCATTAATTATAAACATAATGTATTAAATTTGTGAAGGTTTTAAAATGTACTTAATATATAATTTCACAGGTTGAAAGAAATAGAAGAAAGATTGCAAGGATTGAAGACATCAACTATAACACAAACACCTGCCTTAAAATTTAAAGTATGTAAAAAAATTTAAAATTTGTATTGTTCATTTTAGTGTGTTTTTTAATGTCATCTCACATATGACAAAATTACATGAGAAATGAGATCATTTTAAGTATATAGTTAATTCTACTTTAACTCAATTATGATAAAGTCACTGATCTTGGGTTCTGTCAATGCTAATGCTTTATGTTCTGAAGGACTGCAAACTAATTTTTTTTTTATTCAACAAACATTTTTTTTGAGTGCCTAGTATATGCCACTGTGCTAGGTATATTGGGTGGGAAGGGATACAAAATTATAAGACAATGTTCCACCTGTAATGATTTACCTAAGGTAGATATAACTTCCTTCCACAAAGTCCTGCTCTGGTACCCCATCAGAGACTGAGGGTATTCCCTGGTTTCTTCCTTATCCTTATTCTGAAACTTCCCTCAACTTGATTTGATTCCTATTCCCCTTGATGAGTTTCTTCTGGAGTCTCCATCTTTGACAGGAATCTAGGCTGACCATCCTTCATTCCCCTCTTAGCTTTGCTTCTTACCCTGTGGACTTCATCACCGTGCCCCTACACAGGTGCTATTCTCTCTACTCCTCTGCCTAGTAGCTCATAGTAAACACATAATAAACACTTAATAAAAGCTTGTTGTCTGCCTTAAATTTCTACTAAGCTGTAAATATTACAAATGTGAGCCTGGCAGCAGACTGTCCACTTTCTGAGGACCAGCCTGCCTAAGCAGGAAAGGATCATCACCAGTAGCCTAGCTACATGATAAATTCTTTGGCCCTGGCAATCCTTGAAATAAAGAAAAATGTAAAGTGGTCTCAGGGGTTCTTCTGCAAGAAGGGGCAGAAGATGCTAAGAATCATCATTTTTAGATCATCTTTAAACTTGAACTCTGAATGTGGTATCTTTGACCAGTAACCTACAAATAGGCACACTGCTGGGGGAACTGAATCTTACCAGTCTTGACATTTTCTCTATAAATGAAGTCAGAGCAAAAAGGAAGAAGAAGAATTTGCAGCTGAAGAGATGGCCCACAATTTCTTCTCTGAGAGGCAAATAAAGGAGTTGGCAGAGTTGGTTTCATTGGGTACCGCAATACAACAAGAAACATCATTTCATGAAACATATGGCCATCACAAAATGCAGTGTTTATAAGTATTTGCCAAAAGGCCACTGTCAAATAATACAACAATATCAATTGCAGAGAATGGAGAGGTTATGGTTTTATGAAAAGTCTGATAATGACCTACCAGATTTATTAAACATAAACTTTGATAGTAGGTAGCTTCAATACCAAAATTAGGAATGGGTGAGGATAGTGAGAAATACTTTGGAAGACACAGATCAGTGAAAAAGAGGCCAAAAACTTGTTGACAACTCAATTTCATGTCTCTATGTGATAAATACTTTTTTGAGAAGAGAAGCACTGGCCATGACAAGTACTGAATAGCATCACCTAAAAAAAAAAAATTGGTTGTGTATTAGCTGATGGGAAATAACTTGTTACTGATAGAATCATTCCTAAATTAGTTTTCTGTATATAGCCAGACTACCAACTTGTTAGAACAAAGATAAAAATTAATACAAAGCTAGAATAATAAAAATGAGAAAAATATGTCCCCTGGAACTGAAACAACTCAAGTCTAACCTAATCAAAAAAGTCGATATATTCAAGTGGATCTGTAATTTCATCAATTTAGTGGTTCCTTCCAGGGATGAAGATTGCAACTTTCATTCCTTCCCATCCTATGTGACTTTCTTCCTCACCTAAATTTATCTAAGTTCTACCCGAACATTCTGGAGGCCTTCCCACTTTCTCCTGACAGTGCAAGGATACTGGTGGAGCACTCTACATATCAACTTGTCATCACTCTAAATTTGACCATCCCATCTTCTGTGCCTATCATATGTTTTCCTAATTACATCTTTCACTCCTTTTCTTCTTTAAAATTCTTCATTGGTTAGGTATTATAGTCTGCTCATACTCCTCACATACCTCTCTGTTGTTCTCTGTATCATACTCGTTTCCAGTTTCACAGATACCATTGTGTTTCATGTCTCGAAGCCATGTGGCAACAGTGATAGAATGTTGGTATTAAACAAAAGCCACTTTCAGAAACGTTGGTGCTTATGGCTAAGCAAAGCCATACAAGAACATTTAAAGATAAAATGGAAGGAAAATAATAAACAGAACAAAAGTGGAAAAGATCTGAAAAATTTGTATGATTAAGTTTTTTACCATCAAGGAGAGTAGAGACATCTCACTTGGACTCTTAATATTAGAGTTACATGTACTTAAAGAGGAAGTAGAAATGGCACAAAAGAGATCAAAGATGAGATAAGCAGCCAGATTAGACCAAATATATGAGAGATCTCTACTGGAAGTGACACAATTGTGAGGATATTGAGGATTAGATACACAGAATCAAGATTTTTTTTCCATCATGTCTTTGGTGTCTTCCATTTGGATATTCTGTGAATCTATTCTGTCTAATCTAATCTAAAAAATCTTAGACCTTGTGAATATAGAAAAACAAAACAAGAAAATAGCGATAACTACTGGCCTATTCATCTATTTTCCCATCTTAATAATTTTCTTTTAGTAGAGAAGAGGCAGGTTTTTGCAAGTACTATTCCACAGTGGACCATACCTTTACAATCACATAATTGTCTAAAATGTCTAACGAAGACTGGCTACCACTGTGCTTATTGTTTAATTATAGAAAAGTATTTGATTCAGTGGAGCAAAATGTTGCCTTAAAGACTTTCTTCCAACAAAGTATCTCACATTCTACATCAAAATCATTCAGATTTCCTAAAATTACATAAAAACAAAGGCAACATCTTTCAGCTCCCCAGTGATTATAAATATCTGTGAGGCATGTAACAGATGTATATATGTACCATAAATGATTTAGGTAACTAAGTAAAGTAAATTAAATTTTACAGATGTAGGGAAATCACAAGTAAAAGAAGAAAGACTAATTACTATTCATCAGGGCTCTCTAAGAAGCATATACCCTGTTGTTTCAAATGTGGGCTGCAATTTTTTTCCAAAAATATTGTTTATAAAAACCTGAGAACAGCTTAGAATTCTTGTTTTTCAGCATGTCCTTTTAAAGGAAAACAACACATGCTTTATATTTAGCAATAAATAGCCTTATTAATGCAAAAGCCCAAAAATCCTACAACAGTTCTATACCAATGATACTTAGTCTAGAGTCAGTAATCTCATTAGATTCCATGAGTTAACATCTCTATACATATGACTTCCAAATCTAGCTATCTACCTTTCATCTGTCTCCTGAACTAGAGTCCTGAATTACCAACTGCTTATTAGACATCTCTACCTCACTGCCCTGAAGGCATCTTAAATGCAACATGGCTGAAGTGGAAATTGCAATCTTCTCCCTAAAACCTACTCTTAAGCTTACTCCTTAATTTCCCTTTTTCTAACATGGGTGTCCCCACATCCTTTAGTTACTTGAGTGTATCACTCCAGGATCATTGGGAACAGTATGATACAATGGGATGAATAATGGCTTGTAATCGAAGGATCTGGGTTCAAATCTTGCATCTGCTGTGTACTACCAGGGCAACCTCAGGCTCAGGCTAGTCACTTTCCCTCGCAAGACTTCAGTTTTTTCATCTGTAAAATAAGGGAGTTGGACTAAATACCCTCTAAGGTCCTTCCAACTCTAAATCTATGATCACATGATCTTCAACTCTTCACTCTTTTCCCTATCCAATCTACTACTACAAGTTTTATCACTTTTCTACACTCAAAATGAGCTGCCTAAAATCCGAATCATTGATCACCAGGATTATTACCATCAATCACCAGCTTCTTGCCTTTGGGGTAAAGGGAGAAGACACCATTCCATCACACCAGATTTCCTGCTTCCCGGTTTAAAAGGAGAAACAACATTCTATCAAGCACCAGATTCCTCTCTTTTTGGGAAGAGGAGAAAACATTGGGTCTCAAGCCTGATCTCCAGCCTTCCTCAGGAAGTGGGGAAACATCATTTCAGCATGCATCAATTTTCTGCCTTTGGAGTAATGGGAGAGGACACATTCCACTGGACTAAGTCTTCTGCCTCTCGTTGAAAGAGAAGAAATACCATTCCATCAAATAGCAGACTACTTACTCCCTTCCAGGGAATAGGAGAAAGGCATTTTCAAATCACCAGCCTGGTTTCTTGGCTTGGAGAAAGAGAGCAACACTATTTCTTCAGCTTCCATCATTTGTCCCCTTCTGTGAACTGCCTAAGGGCCTGAGAAAACTCCAACCGGAGACCATACCTCTTTGGACAATGAAAATCTATCTAAGCTTTTTCTTCTATGATTAACAGTCTCCCCCATCCTGCACCCCTCCTATCATGCCCTAATCCTCCCTGTGATTCTGAACCACCCTCCCCCCCAAGCAGTCATCATTCAAACCCCATTCTCCATCCCCCATTGCCTTATCCCTTTTTTCTATACCCTGCAATCTTCTCTTCTGTGTCACCCCCAGCATCCCTCTCTAAAGTTACTCACCCCCCTCACACTGTACACTCTGGAATACCTACTCCAGAGACAACAAACTTATTTTCATGTTAAATCTTTTCCTTTCCCAATCTTTCAATTTTCTATCTCTCGCTGAAACCTGGTTCCTTTCTGGTGACGGCCACCTGGCCATTCTTTTTTAGCACTGGTTGCACTTTTATTCATTCCCCTGATCAAGATGGAGGAGTTGAAATGCTCCTTGATCCCCATTGCCACTTACAGTTCTCCCTCCATCATCATTCAATAACTTATCTGGTTGCTTAATCAATTTCAGTTCAGCTATTTTTCAGTTGTGTCAGACTCTTCATGACCCTATTTGAGATTTTCTTGGCAAAGATACTGGAGTGGTTTGCTATTTTCTTCTCCTGCTCATTTTACAGATGAGGAAACTGAGACAGACAGAGTTAAGTGACTTACCCATGGTCACAGCTAATAAGTGTCTGAGGCCAGATTTGAACGCAGGT